GGATTCGTCTGAAAGAAGAAAGTCATATACACCTAGGATGACTTCAGGGTGAGTAATTTATGGGCTAATTTAAATGTTTGGGTGAACTAACCCTTTAAGGGACATTTCAAAGTTTCCATTACATGATCTTTTCTGCCCTGTGCCCAGGTTGGCATCAGACAACTGTATGTTCAGATTGACGTGGCAGCCATGTAGAAGTCCGCCACACTTCTCCTGATCTTTGGGAGTCCTGGGACCAAAGGCCTTCTGTGCTGCTGTGGGGAAATTCTCCACCTCAACCCATCTCTCTTTGGGTTTCTGTCGCTCCACTTCCATCTTGGATCAAGATGGAGCTGGTGCAGTCCAGCAGTCTGACTCCACTCTTACCAGAAAACAACTGACCAGCTACAACAATGTGATGTTTTTGAGGGAAGGAAGAATTTGCAACATTGGTGCACCCAATCGATCATTTGAACTTTTTTTTTTTTTTGGAAATTCCCCAATGCTTTTGATTTTTATAATCCTGACAAACTGTTTCTTTTCCTCATAATTGCTGCCCTTTTCCATTATTAGAATGGGGTTTTAATTATTGAATGTGGAGTTCAGTGGACATTTGTAAAAATAGCAGTATGTGATTCATTGACTTTTTGTACTTCACCTGCTTTAATTTTCAGTTGCACAGTTGTAAAGAAGAGCAGAATTTGTTCGCCAATGCCACTATGTAAACAAACATTTGTCTGCATTTCTTAAGTGCCTTTTTAAAAAATGATCATGGACAATCGCTTGGACCATCATGTTTGATGGTCAACATGAATGCGATGAAAACTGGATCTTTATGACCTTGAGTTCTGTCTACATTAAAACATTCCTTTGCATTTGGCTTTGCTGTTTATGCATGGTGTGAAATTTGTATGAACAAGTTCCTAAAACCTGTCATATAGACAGAATGACACGGAAGCAGCTGTTTTTATGCATTTGATGAATGACTTGAATGGAAATTATAAAAACTCCATGATTTGTTTTTTGAATGCACAGGAAGGTACAAGCATCAGTAGGCAAGTCCAACATATTTGCAGTAAAATGTCAGAGCCTGTTATGGTTTATTTCCATTCAAGTAATCGGTGGAAACAGTTAATCAAGGCTAGTTCTGTCTGGAGACAGACTTTTTCAAGTTTAAAATTGATCAAGATTTCCTTGTGATTTTCAAGACTTCCTCCAGCGAGTTTCACATAAATACACCTTTTACTTTGTATTTTTCAGCTGTACTGTTTCAGCTTTTACTTTTTTTTTAAGTTGCATTTGAAAGGATGAAGAGTTTTGAGGTATTTTCAGGACAGTATAGTTATATTGTTTAACAGTTGTTAAACTGTTTGCCAAGCTATTAAGATATATATTATATATATAACCTTCACTTAAACCAGTAAATGTTTAAACCCAATAATCTAAATGCAACACGTGAACTCAAATTTGTCTTTGTGTAAATAAACCAGACAGAGGCAAACTACTTTCTGACAATAGCTTTATTCACTTTCTATGCAATGAGAGATCACAAACAAAACCAAAGATGTAGATGAAAGTAGCCAAACCACAAGTAGGGCGTTGTTGCAATCAGTGGCGACGAAATGAGTGTCTTTATTGTACGAAAATCAATCTTCATCCATTATGACATGCTCAAAGGAATCTCAGTATTCGCTTTTATCTTATTTTCATTCTTACTGAAAAAGTTCCATTAAGAAATGTACAGAAACATTATGCCAATTTCGAATAAAGCTCAATTTCAGAGGCACTAATGCAACCCAGATGCAGTTGGTCCACAATAACCTTTTCCATTTCCTCTATTATAATTTCATCATTTATTTTTTTGACAGCAAGAACATGACTACCACACGTCAAAATAATCATCCCACTCCCAATCTAAATCTTGTAATGTAATGCAACCCTGGCCCGACCGGTGCTTAAAGGTTATAGTGGTCAAATTTGATCTGGAATAACAATTATGTAATTTGTGTGCTCTCCTGACCCTCCAGCAGCTCTAGGCTCTCGCGTGGACCACCTTGTCTGCTTTTCCTTTTTAAAAAACCCAGGAGTATTGAAAAGGGAACTTTTTTCTTGAGGAGAACAAGCTTCTTGCATATCAAGAAACGTAGTTGGAACTATCGGTCATCTTCAAGGTCTTCAATCCCTCAGGACCACTGAAGAGTTTCAACATGTCGACCTCTAAAGGATGAAGGTGTCCACTGATGATCATTGAGTGAAGTGGTCCTCCCAGGTCACAGGACGCCAACTCCTGCAGCGTCCCGGAACGGATGGTCTGGTCCTCAGCTCCAATCCGAGCCAGACCAACACACACTGTGTCTTCAGTCATTGCTGCATTGAAGGAAAGAACATAGGATAAACCGTGAAACCAACGCTCACAAAGCTTTCAATCAAATCTAATCCAATTTTCCATCAATGCTTGCCAGTGTCTCAAGTCTTCCAGACGTCCAGATTGTTCTACCACGGAGTTAACAGAGGTTTTCATGCAATTCAGAAAGGTTTGCAAGAGTTACTTACCTAGTTCCTCACCCCGATCCCGTCGGTTCTGTAGTATTTCTAAGAGTTGCTCAGCTGCCTGAGCAACAGTCATGTACCTGGGAGGCTCGTAAATCTTTCGACCCCTGGAAAGAGAGGGGATTGGTAAACTTTAAGGTGAGCAGAAGTATCTGGTGTCATCTATTAATCTGTCTGCATACTTGACTGTGTCGAAATTAGTTAATGCACAGGTTTCAGGTGGTCCCAGAACATTGAGCAAGTAGGTGGCCATTAATGCAATTTACATCTGAGCTTTAAAGTTAAATACTCTGCATGCTTAAGGTGCATTAGCCATTAATGGACCATCGGTCAGTCTTTAATGAAATCAGTCAACTTAAGGAAGTTGGAGACATGCTTTGAATTTCTTTTTGGGGCCATTTCCCCCACCCTGCAGTGAAGGGCACCAACCTCACTGGACAAACATCTGACTGTGACCAAAATCATGCAGCATATGGTTATTCCATTTCCGAGTAATGGTACAGCAGTGCCAATAAATCTGGGAGACATTAACACACTTTCCAGCCTTGAACAGGGAGCACGCACCAGGCCTAATGCTCGTCTCCTTATAGTGTACATAGTGGAACACTAAAACCCATTTGGGGTTTATGTGGATTGGATATAAAATTACACAAAATGCAAGGAGTTAACAACCGTCTTCTACAACGAAAAAAAATTCAACACCAGTGAAAGTTTTTCAGAAAGACTTTATGTTCATGTTTGAAAGCAGTTGATGAAGTTCACTGTTGCCGATAAACATATTTCTGAAGGCTTCAGATGGGAAAATTATACCATGGCAGTTCTGGAGGTGGCCCAGGGAAGGTCCATGATAACATATCATGCGTCCAAGTCAAACAAGCGGCCATGTTTTTTACTTTTGTTATTTTTTTCCAACTCGACCAGTCTGCCCCCCAGCAACTTGCATGAATGTTAAGTCAATGTCTGCTGTAAACCACAAATTGACCCTCCTGGAAAAGCACCACAGACTAGATATAAATCAGCAGAACCCACTCAACCCCACAGAAAATCAGAAAGTGAGAGATTCTTACCTCATTAAATTCGCCATGGACTGCTCTTTGACTTTGATATCTGCGAAACAAGGGAGTTGTAAGTGTTGTACGATACAATAAGCTTGGGTTTTATAAACTAGGCCTCTCTGGATGTTAATGTCACATCATAACTATTAGGTCGCCCCTCCATTTGGGGCTATTAACCCCACTCAGTCTGGAGCGCGGGTACACTTTCAGACTGCACCTGAGAGGGCTCCATATTGAGAACAAAGACAGATGTACAAATCATGACCAGTAATGTTCTCACACCATGTCTACAACTGAAAGCGGCAATGTTAACCTCAAAATGTTCATAAATAACAGACCAATCATATGCAAGTTCAAGGCCAAACTTCAGCTACAATAAAATAGGACAATTTCTTTGTTTCCTACTTTCGTTATAAATGGAAATATATCAAAACTGACTTCCCATGAATTTTAGAATGGCAAAGAAAATGTATGTAAATCTAACTTTTTTACGTAACAGCTTTGCAGAAATTTAAAACTGACATAAAATTAATCATCAATTAACGATGTTTAAAAAACAGCAAATTTACACAAAACTCAATTATATTTGTTTAAAAAACCCAGCAAATTCATAATTAACGATATTTCTGAAAAAAAAATAGAAATGGAGAAACTGACATAAAATTCATAATTAATGAATTAATGATATTTGTAAAAAAAAAAAAAAGAAAAGAAAAAAAACTGACATAAATCCTTAAAAAATAGGGGGAAAAACAGAAAATTAACAAATTCAAAATGTATTATTGATATTAGTAAAACAAAATCACTTTTATTTTTTAGTTGGATAGAGAAAAATGTGGCTGGGGTAGCAGAGTAGTGTATCAAAAAATTAAAATGGAACAAGTTCACGTCTGGTTGTAGACACTGTCAGATTTTTTGGAATTACAAATCTAATTTTATTTTTGAATTTAATTTAGAAACACCAGCAAATAAATTAACCAATATTTGCCAGCTTGATTAATAGCCCACGTCTTGTTAGCAGCATTATGATGAATGGATGCAGTGTATATTCCCTGTGTTTTGTCTGTGTGTGTGTGTGCTTTTGTTGTGTCTGCAGCTTATTGTGTTAGATAAGCGCTCTTGCGGCCAAGGGTGGACGGGGAGGTGTCCGATCCCCGCCTTCCTCTGTTTGCTTTTGAATAATGAGGTTAATAACCCTGATCCCTCTCTTGCTCATTTTTGTCCTCGGTCTTGCTCTCTGACTCCTCAGCTGGGAAGCACCTGGGGACTCCCGCCCCTCCCCCTCTGTCCCACCAGCCAATGAGACACAACCCCTGACCAGTAGACTACGATTTTACCAACATTCATTACCAAAGACGCCTTCCAATGGGAAATCCCACTGGTACTTTGGAAAACGGGGGTTTATTAAGAGTTGGCTGGAAATCTCCATGGCACACGGATATAAACGTAAATTATTTGCAACCATCTGCCTTGGGGGTACCAAAGCATTTGCAATGGGTCCAAGTTTAATGTGCGCCACGAAGGGAAATGCCTATTTGACGGTACATCAAAACATGGTGGTCGTCGCTTCTGGTTTTGACACATTAATTGTTACAGTGATTGTTAAAGATGAAACACACATACATGCATGGAAATTTGCTTGGGGAAGTGAGCCAAGAGACTGGAGAACCTGCCAATTGTTAGTGTTCATGACATCATAACTTTCTTTCTAATTAGAACATCTCGTTCACAAAGACTCAAAGGAAGAGCTCACCCAGCAGGCACAGCGTGTGCAGGCCCATATCCCTGTTCTTCTTGATCTGATCATAGAAGCTCTCAGGTCTCCATGTGTCCGTCCAAAACACAATGGACACTGTCTCCCCGAAGTTGTACAGCTAAGGAGGAAAATGCAATCACATTCATACTTAATTTATTCACACTAGATCTTACTTTGCATTGGTCACTGTTCACGAGTAACCAGTTCTGTTTAGCCACCGACAAGGTGCTTCCTGTTATTCAGTAAGCATGACATCATTCTGAACACTAGAGTGCCGCACAGCTGACACAACAAAGTGACATTACAGCAAGCAGACTTGTTACCAGTTACTTTAGGTCCTACAGACCCTCTGAAGATCATATTAGTGCGATATGAACAAACATATAGGTAGTGTTGAAGTCATCCCACATCTACCAAGTCAAGGGGTATCCAATCCTGCTCCTGGAGGGTCAATGTCCTGCAGAGTCCAGCTCCAACACACTTGCCTGGAAGTTTCTAGTGAATCTGAAGACCTTGATT